AAGTATACATAGAAGTAACTGAAGGACCCTGGAAACAAAGAAATTATGCACACAAAACATCTTTCACAAATAGTAAATACGTGAACTGCACAATGCTTTCTAAATATATCTGAGAAATTAAAAACAAAACGCACATTACACCAAAAATATCTTGGAAAATATCATCAGCCTACAACAATCAATCCAAAAATTGCAAACTTTGCTTGGAGGAAAAAATAGCTGACATTACCTTCCCAGACCAAAATAAATTATTAAATAAAAGATCCGAGCTTATCTCAAAATGCAAACATGAAAACAAATTTTTACTACGTTACTTAATCGAAAACTGAAAAAAAATAATAAGCAAAATAAATTAACCCAAACAAATTACCAAATCACACCCGCCAGAATAGACGAAATAGAATAAATAAATAAAAAATAAAAAACAAAATCAATGAACCCAAATAAATAAAGTAAATAATAAACAAATTAACAAACCATTATGACTAAATTATTAGTTAGACTATAAAAATCAAACCAAAAATCGGACGAAAAACATAAATTAACTTTTATATAACTGTTATATAACGATAAATATATATATACTACATATATACAAAAAATATACAGTATAATAAATAAATAATAAAAAACAAGGAAAATAAATTAATCTAAATTAATCCAAATAAATAAACTAACAAACCGATTCTGATAAATTAATCGTTAGAAAAAAAAACAAATAAAGATAATCATTCCAAATAAATAAATGAAGAAATAAACAAATTGAAAACTGCTCCCGCCAAAATAATAGTTAGAATAATCTACAACAATCAACCCTAAAATTTAATAAACAGCTTTAATTATCTTCCCAAACCTGAACAATACTACTAAATAAGCGATACAAACAAATTTTTACTACGTTAATAAAACACCGATTAAAATAAAAATAAATAAGATAAAAAATAAATAAAAAAAAAAAAAATAAATAAAAACAAGAAATAAAAACGACTAAAAATAACCGCCAAAAAATAAATATATATATATATATATATATGCAAAAAAATGTCCACCATATATATATATATATATATATATATATATATATATATATATATATGATGGACTTTTTGAATTAATTTCAACGTACAAGGGCCCAACATTTCAAACTGAACTGTTAGACGTATGATTAACATATCGTGGTTAAAGCTTTTGTGGTAGCAGGCCTCACTTTCCGGAAGAAGTGATAATATAGAAATGATGCAGAGTATGACATAAAACCTCCAAAGAATCCTCTTCTGATTGGAATTCAGAGATTTCCTTCACTTAGAATGGCTACCAACCAAGGTAAGAGAACTCAATCTACTTTGTTATTTTTCTTATTGCTGGAGTAAGAATTGGATTCATGGCTACACCACTGGCAGTAGCATAAAGTGAACGAAACAGAATCAACCAGGATTGAAATCGTCTCGGCAGTTTTTCTTTCGACTCCGATATACATTACCTTTGAATTATCCACGCATCCATTTGTAGTTTTCCTTCATATAGAATAAGAAGGATAAAATATAAAAATCATCTAATTCGAGGCAATGTAGAAAATTGCATCATCCAAATTGACGGAAACTGCAACAGCTGTTGTATGATTAATCACGATATAGGCAAAAGGGATATTTAGTAATTAATGGAAAATTAAAATACCGTTTTGATAGCATATAAGGCGTAATTCGTCGTATACGTGAATTTCAAGTGCTTCACAGCTTAAATTTATTACCAACGCCCAACACCATCGGCTATAATTTTATCCCAAACTCTAACTTCTACCGAATCCGACTACTTCCTAATCCGACTACGATTCTTCCTAATCCGACTGCGATTCTTTCTAATCCGACTACGATTCTTCCTAATCCGACTACCAATCTTCCTAATCCGATTACGAATCTTCCTAATCCAACTACATAAGAACATCATTTTTTCAAATTATATTGTTATCGGATCTTACCCATAATAATAAAAATAGACTATTCCATACTTAATAAATACTGCGCCTCAGGAATGCCCACATTAAAAAGGCCTTGTGCCACATGACACCCTCGTGGGGGGGGGTGACTCAATATCGTGAGTCAGCTGTTCACTTTTGAACAGACTGATCGGTTCAACTCTCTGTATCCGGACGGAGAGGAACCCGAAGGAGGCTCCGCCGAAGGGCAGAGTCTCCTTCGGGGAGGTAAAACCGGCCCTGAACCCGTTTATACGGGTTCAAACGGGCATATTTTTGGGCCGAGCCCACGGGCTTGGGAATACCCACAATAAACAACCGACCTTGTGTCACATGTTGCCCCAGGGTGGGGGGACTCAATATCGTGAGTCAGTCGTTCACATTTTGAGCGACTGATCGGTCCAACTCTCTGTCTGCGGACGGAGAGGAACCCGAAGGGGAGGTAAAACCGGCCCTGAACCCGTTTATACGGGTTCAATAAGCATATTTTTGGCCGAGCCCACGGGCTCGGATTGCCCACGTTAAAAAGGCCTTGTTCCACATGACACCCTCGTGGCGGGGGTCACTCAATATCGTGAGTCAGTAGTTCAAGTCAAGTCAAGAGTCGAGTCAGAGGCAGTCCGAAACAGAGTCGCGTTCAGATAATTACGGCAAGACATTGGAATAGTGATACTGGTCGAGACTACATTGTTCTCTTTACTATACCTGATTGTTCATACTAACACTTCTACTTCTCGGTATATATTCCTGTTTGTAATACATCTGTGTTATTCCATACCTGTGTTCGAGTTCTTCTTTATTGGTTCTCCCTTGGACTATCACCGTGGTACAAGGAGACGGACCATAACATATATTATTGTATTTTAAATTCTTTTTGTCCTGCAATTGTTTTATAATCCCATGCCTGATCTTATCCAATGACGTAGGACAATCGAACGTTGTGAATTTTTTTGTTGATTCCACTTAAATAAACACAAGACAGCTATTAAGAAAAACAATTGGACAAAACTCTTCGCAGGATATGACCAGTGCATGTTAAAACTGTTTTTCTTTTTTAAATTTCATAGAGAAACGTTACATCAGGGATTTTGTTGTTGATTTCCTTTCTTTATCAGACCCAAAGATCCAACTACAGCAGGAACATTTTTAGTTTTTAAGAACTAGCTTTTTTTTTGTTTCCATCTCCAGGTTTTTGTAATTGCTTAGTTTTATAAAAGCCTTTTTGCAGAGATGTTTTTACCACTTGGTATGCACATGTCAGTCAGCGTGCAAACTTTTTCTTCTCTGTTTTGGACAATAATGTCTGGGGGATTTGCTTTTATCATTATTATTATTAATAAGGAAGTAACGTTAAAATTTACCTGCAAATTCATCGGTACCAGCTGATCTACCATATGTAAAATTCGCAACCTCACACTTATCATTAACCAGTTGGAAACTACAAAAAGAAATGCAACTGAAAGGAAATACTATTGTTCAATTGTAGCAATTACTTGCTTTTTTATAAAAAAATGTTTTTTGTTTGTTTTCTCTCGCAATATTTTATTATTGCAATCATGTAAGGTACATTCACTCTTTCGATTTTTTTTTTAATTTTTTGCTTTATATTCAGTTGAACTGCCTTTTTGCTTTTATATTGATGTAATGGAATAACCCATCACCCCCATGAATGATTACACTATAGGTAGAAAGTACCTATAAAGTCAACTGTCTACGAGAGACTCGGGGAAGAGTGAGAGAGAAGACGCAAGCATGTCTAACCTTCCAATTAGTGGCACTCACTACTAGACTGACCTGTGTGTATAACTGTACCGTATTTCATATTGTACTGGTGTTAAGTATTTATTCACTTAGCACGGAATATAACACACACACACACACACACACACACACACACACACACACACACACACATATATATATATAAAGTAATGTCCTCTTCTATAGATAAAGTGTTTGTAATGCCTTTCAATGTAATGATCGTATGCTTTAAACATTACACGCTTAAATGCAGTAAAACATTATTCCTTATTATGCCCTGGTGAAATGGAGGTGCGTTAGATGTGCCTGTGTGTCTTTTATGCAGACAAATACAGTATATACCCTAATGAAAAGGGAATATCAGAAGCAAAGTTGGTTCAAGAAAATTTAAAAACATACTATGAAGTCCATAAAATACGGTGGATAAAATCTAATATGTTGTGTTTAAATCAGAAGTGAACAATGAAGCTGATAAAAATCATCGGGCATACTGAACATTACTTTACGAAAATCTCACCGATTCTCAGATATATTAAAAGGTGAAATAATCCAACATGGCTGATCGTTTTTTACATACATAGATAGTACAACTTGCAGTAGAACATAAAAAGGAAAAATTGTAAATAAAAAAGAAAGCACCAAGAACATTAAAACGAGGCGAAATAATCGTCAAGTGTTTAAGATTCAAGTCCAAAGAAAAAACCCTCGAAAACGAGTAAAAATACAACGACGTAGAGTGCCCAATACGCTAAGTAGAGCGATAAACTAGAATAATCCTAAGGAGCCAGGCAAACCTACCAAGGTTTACCCTGAAGATCCGTTTAGATGAAACCTAGGCAGGTTTGCCTGGCTCCTCAGGATTATCCTAATATATATATATATATAGTGGCCTCCTCTTTTGATCAATCGATGTATAGGGATGTAACAGTACAGTTTTTAGAACTGAAAGATCAGACTCCCTAAATTTATAATTTCATTCTCGTGGTGAATATTTGCGTAGAACCAGCTACCCTTTTCGGAAGAACATAACAATCATTGCATAATACGCAAATCGCCCTCCTCCGATTTTAAGTCAGTGTTTACCTTCCCATAGATTAGACGCCAACCATGTTTAGAGAGTACTGTTTTCCATTGTGGGGTTGTATCTGTGTGTTTGCTGTGTAGAGACAAAGGAATCAACACTGTATTGTGACTGTCAGTTTAACATTTCAGTGCGGACTTCAGGTATTCGTTAATTCCTTTGCCCACCACTGTTTATATGCTAAAAATGCCCCCCACTCTCTCTCTCTCTCTCTCTCTCTCTCTCAAATATTGGGTACACTCTTGTCTTATAAATATAATTATTATAAATTATCTTCCTCCCTCTCTCTCTTCATACACACACACACATATATATATATATATATATATATATATATATATATATATATATATATATATATATATATGAGGTAGAGCTTTTACATTGTTTACTCCAAAGATAAAATTCAACTTTTATCAAGATTATCAGAAAACTAAAGAGAAAAACATTTCGCAATTTAGATTTTATTCTCTTTTCTTTCATTAGTTTTTCACTTTTATCTTCCTTATTTTTTGTCTTCGCACAGATTTTTTTTTCTACGCAAATGGCCATGTTTAAAAATACGTTGTTTTTTCGTTTTTGGTATATTTTTTTTAATATTAATTATATCCTAATTATGTGCGTCTACGCCCGTGTGTTTGTGCCGGCAAAACCAAAGCAAAGCGAATAAGCAAAGCGAATAAGCAAAACAATAAGGAATAAAATATTTTATCAACCTACTTAAAAGCTAATTACAGCCAGATGAAAAAATAAATTAATTTAAAAAGTAATTATGCAAAATACTTTAAAGTACAACTTTGTTTCTTGTCATCGACAAATAATGTATTTTAAAAACATAGTAAAAAAAAAATATATAAATATAACCCTGCTCTGAAAGTCCTTAGAATTCACGCAAATGCTAAAAGATTATGGCAACCAAAAGTTGCAATCGAATTGACAAATCGAGAGAAAATCAGAAAAGTTCAAAATAAAATAATTTAAAATTGAAAGGAAATTGAAATGTAATTCAAAGACAAATTAACTTTCGAATAATGGCATGACTGGAAAGAGGACATCTAATGAGAGAAACTGTGCCTATATTAACGGTGGACAAGATTCATTCTAAAGGACTAACGATATGAGAAATGTAGGCCTTTGGGATCAAGAATAGTAGAATTAGACATGAGACTGACTATCATATCACGTAATCTATATCTATTTGTATATAAATGGTTGGCTGCTTAGCTAATCCCAGTTGCAGACATGTAAAACCTGGCAGAGCCAACCAGTGGTTTATGCTGCAACTCTAGTAAGCATATTTCGCTTACATTCTCTGGGAGAAAACACACAATCTGGTGTAATCAATAGTTGGACAAGGCCTGTACGTTCAAACCCTCGGTCACGATGATTTGTGACATCGTGCTAACCCTAACCATCAACGGCTTTCGAAAAGTTTCATATGACCGGTTTCATTCGTGGTATAGTTTGCAGACACCTTTTGATGGTACTGCATTCTAACCGAAACCATTATCAAAAAGGCACATCCCTTAAAAATCGGATCTCATGGTTTCATTCAAAACCGGTTTCATGGTTGGAAGATTAACTTTCTATCCATATATAATATGTATGTACACGTGAGTGGAATTGAAACATATTCTGTCTGTTCGTCACAAACAATCGGATATACATTTATCTAAAAATATTAAATTTGATTTACGAAAGGCAATATAAATTGAAAAGGTTGTAAATTGATACACAGGTTATATTTTATGAAATTAAATATTCAGTCAAATTAATGTAAAAAATCCTAAAGTTGATTTGGGGACATTTTCAAAAGCTATCCTAAATAATTTGGCCAAATTTCGTATGAGTGCCAAATGATCTGCAATAAATCTTTCTAGAGGTGTTTGAATTGAAACAATAATTAAAAAAAAGTTAAATATACATGCAGAGAGAAAATTAAAGTATAATTTTAAATCGATATTATATATTAATTACTAATCAATGCTAGTAAGGTTGCCCATAATAATTATACAATTATTTTTTTCTGAATCTGTAGCCTGGAACTCGACTCCGAATAGACATTGCAATTAGTGTCCTTCGGAAAGGACAGGTGCAGTGTTGACCTTTTAAACGGGTGTGGAGATCAGCGATTCACCGCGATTGATCGCAACAGGTGAACACGTAGCGGCTTAGCTGCGCCTGATATGTGGTTAAGCATTTGTATGATTCCAGTGAGGAAATAAACAGCGTCTCTCAGACATCGCAAACAAGAATGTAAGATCCGCGTTTTGAACCTGAGCTCTGTGACCATGCACAGACAGGCAGGTTGACTCAGAGGCGCGCGCGCAAAAGCACAAACTAGCAGAGAGTAATCAACAAAATAACTGGTTAAATAAAATGCTAAATGAGAGAGATGTGTTCTCATTAAAATGTACGATGTGTTATCATTGGTCTGTATATCTTCTTCATTACAAATCCTCTCAAAACACCGAAAACAAACATAAACGTGGAATTAGTGTGTAAAAATTCTAATTTCCTTTAAATTATTAGTAGAATGTTTTTTTATATACAAATGAATGAAATTTCTTCGCAATTTCCGAAAGAACATCCTAAAATTCCAAATTGGCAAGAATCGGTACGAATTTTCCTCCATAAACTCAAGTAACGACATTAAAAAGAATCCCATTCTTGGCCTCTTAAACGATATTCACCTATCCTATTTAAAATGGCCGCCATATTTTCTCTGCCTTAAATGCAAAATTCAGCTCGAAGTACAATTTATGACCAGTTATAAAAATCGACACAAATGTAGATTATTGATTTTTCTTTTCGATTAGACCCTTTTTCGTCTATGCTGTTTTGCTCTCGATCGTGTTTTATTTGCGTTTCGACGCCGTTTAACATATGTCTCTGGCATGTTTATTGCGTCCCCTAACATGTCTATTACAGAAAAGCTATTACTTTGACATGATCTTCGATTTTGACTATTAAAAAGTGAAAATAAAAGACAGCTTCACTTTCGTAACGAAAATGCCCATCGTGGGTATCGCATATATATAATCAAATCTCCCCCTTTCTGGTCAGTCTTGTTTATGGTATCCAGATACTGTAATTTATAGAACAGTTACCTGTTATCATAATATTCACTGTTGACAAGCATATATTCCCTATTACCTGTGTGTCTCTTGAAGAAAAAACTCTCACCTAAATTATACGGAAAATAAAATTTACAATTTACTCTACATAAAATGTACAACTATATTTTACTCGATAGTTCAGTCAATAATGAATGAAAATTATAGTTACTATGTTACTAAAGTTAGTGAGTAAAATTATAAAGAAGAGGAAAAAAGAGTGTTATGATAACGAGCAAAGCAAGTGGGGGGCTTGTGGAGTAGAAATAAAGTCGGTAGGTAATGAAAAGTTGAATGATTTCTTGCGTCTACCAAATTAAAACAGCGCCAAGGCTGTATTTGAGTTTTCATTTTTAAGTCTTCCAAATGAATGAAATTTTTATGTATGAGAACGGTGTTCGAGCCCAGCTCAAAGCCAGTATTTCGAAACCCTTTTCTTAGTCATCCATGTGTTTAATTGATTTACTATATTACTAGGCTATAGTTATGTATTTTCCATCGGTGTTAAAAATAGGGTATCGTTCCCAGGTAAAAGCAAGAATAGAGAATTCTGATTCGTATGAAATGAAAATTCTCTCTCTTTCTACTTTACGTAACACAATTTTCCAATTATTGTTTTCTCATTTTTATTTATTTACCTTAAGATAAGCCTAATTAATATAAACAAGGATAATATGAATAATTGGTGAAGACAGAACTCGATAATTTAAGTATCTGTCTATATTTCTGAGATGAGGTATTATGTGCATTATTTACATTATTCGGACTATTGTTCTCATCTTTGTCGCCATATTTATTACAAAGTTTCGGCCCTTCAGTATCTGTCTATATTTCTGAGATAAGGTATAATGTACATTATTTACATTATTCGAACTATTGTCCTCATCTTTGTCGCCATATTTATTGCAACGTTTCGGCCTTTCAGTATCTGTCTATATTTCTGAGATGAGGTATTATGTACACTATTTACATCAGCCACCTGAAGAAGGCCAGAGCGTACAACGGCTGAAACGTTGTAATAAATATGTCGACAAAGATGAGGACATTAGTTCGAATAATGTAAATAATGTCGATAATTTAAATCTCAGTAAGCATCTGGTTAAGTCAAATAATGCAACTAAATATGAACTTCTCCCTGAATTTATGAGAAATTTAAATGAAGCGCGTTATAGAAGTCAACGTCATTTGGAGTTTTTTTCCAGATGTCATATGTCCTCAGGTGATCATTGCTAGCCACAGTTTCATTTTCTCATTATTTATTGGGAAAGATAGTGGAGTAGTTTTCCGTTGCTTTTTCAAGTATTCTTTCTCTAAGTAGGGATACCAACGAAGGCTATAAAATTAGTTTAACCTGCTATTCCATTTCTAGCACGAGGAGAGAAAAAGATGGATTCAGACTGCTACAGACTCGCCCGGAATTTGAACTCGTTCACCGATTTCACCATCCGCCTGCTAATTGTAACGCCACCTGCATATCCCTTGATTTACGACAAATGACAAAAGGAGAAAAAGCTTAGGTGAAGGAAAGGAAAGGAAAAAATAATTGTAACATTAAAGACGTCCATGGTAGTGAAGGTTAATGATGTACCAGATGATGATGATTTTAAAGAGCGTTTTCCTTATTATGATGATGCTTTTATTTAATATAGTAGTAGCAGTAGTTGTAGTAGTCGTCTCCGTATAATGGTGCAAACGAGTGTTGTCCTTGTAGAAATAGCCAAAAAAAGAAAAAAAGATGAAAGAACCTTCATTTTTGCTCTATTTCTTTTTCCTAACGCAACAATGGTTGATTGGTGAAAAGGGTTGATAAGTTGTAGATAGGAATGTGTTTTTTATTTTTCTTTTAAAAAAAAAGCGCGAGGAAGCAAACGCTTAAAATTCATTTGTGTAATGATTGAAAGATAAACACAAGAAAGAGTTGAATTTGTCGGCCCTCTTTTCCTTTGCTCAAGATTGGGCATGTTTTAATTGAATTCAATCAAAACATAAAACCCAATTACGCCTAATTACATTCATCTTTTAACAATTAAACATGATTGCCTATTCTGCTTCAACTCCTCCTCCTTGGCTTTCACTACTCGAGTTCCGTTTTGTGTGAAGACAACGTTAACTTTTAATCTATTGATTGAAAGTATAAAGCTGGAAAATGGCGTTAAAAGAAGAAAAAAAAGCGAATGCAAGAAACTGGCAACAAACAAATGTACCTTTTGAGGTCAAGGACAAGATGCATCCCGATAAAAACCGTTAGTTTTTCTATTTACCTTATGCTTCATGTATTAGGCGCATTGCTACAATTCATTCGTCTTTCTTTCCCAAGACTACAGACTATCCGTTTATCCTTCCTTTACGCCATCGATTCGTTATATTTATTTGTGACGAAGCCATTTCTGGTATAAGGTACCATGTATAGAGTACCTTGTTAGAATGAAATTAAATCGTAATGCATTGCACAATGTGTATCCTAAATATAGCGTAATTGCAGATTAATAATTTATATAATGTGTTTCTTAAAATATATTTTTTAAGCTTTCGCTTTGTAATCACTTGTATAAATTCTTTCATTGATCCTAACAGTATTGGCAATCAAGGACGCAGTTTTCAAGGATTTTTCTAATACCTGTGCACTGGGGAAGAAATATGTTGCCTCATTGAAATGGGAAAATATTTTTTCAGGCAAAAAATCTATCAAAATTTCAAACGTGCTAGAAATGAATAAAAAAAATTAAAAAATAATTTAAAATAATTAAAAAATACTTTGGTCTTTTCTCTAAAACTTTGTTTTTATTAGGTTTGGGGCCTTTTTTTATAATGTCATGCTGTTTTTTCGGCAAATTGTTGAATATACCTAGACTTGAGGCAACAGAAATGTGGTTCTACAGAAGGATGCTGAGAATACAATGGGCCTAATATGTTAGCAACGACGAAATTTAAGTGTAAATTTAAACAAAAAGGAAATTTATACTTAACACCAGAACGAAACAATTGAAATTTCTAGGGTAAATAATGAAAAAAGAGGGCTTGGAAAATCTGATACTCACAGGACTGATTGAAGGCAAGATGAATAGAGGAAAACAACGCATAACATACTTAGGTAGTAAATTGATGGCGGAACAATGTTTAAGGGAAATAACAAAAAGACAAGTTTATTAAGAGCTACGAATGACAGAAAATTATGGAGAGCCATGATCCCCTATGTCCTGAAGGGACACGGCACATAAAGAGATGAATTTATAACATTCGGGCAGACTGGATTCTCTTGCCTTGGTGGTAATGGCGGAAATGAACCAATCTAGATTCAAAACCATTCTAAACAGGCGATCTTTCTCTAGACACAACAACTACTGCTACAAATGCATTACACGTGTGAAACCCAACGCCCCCCTCCGAATACGCATACATTAGTTTTCATACACTAGCATTTTAATTAAAATATTGACACCAGAGTTAGCATATTGGTTTCTTTGGTAAGAAACTATTTTCGTTTCATTTAAGTAACTCAGGAATGATGCAACGCGCATCTTATTGATTCATTTATTGATAGTGTGTGACTGTAGTGTTATCGGCTACAAACCTGACTCTCTTATTCCCAGTCTTATATATCAAATGTTCCTCTATGAATCTTACTCTCATCATACCAGTCTTTTAGCAAATCTCCATTTTCTTCTTAGTTGAAATCTCTGTCGTTTTATAGCGAAAGTAAAGTCTTTTCATTTGAAACAACAACGTTTTAGGCAAGAGAACTCGTGATCCAAAACATTTCCATTTCAACAGCAGATCAAAGGCTCATTTCACGTATTTATACAATCAGCGTGTTCCATTCCGTCTCAACTTCTTAAGAATAAGAATGCGTCTTGTATGCTCGACTGCTGCTAATTATATTCACTGATTGTAGTTCAAAGAGTGCAGTTCAAAATTAAAAGGTCTTTCATTATTGCACTTTCCTACGACGTTGTTTATTCAGCCGAAAGCATTACAAAGATTAAAAGCGGAATCGGAAATAGCATTGAATAACAAACTTGTGGACGTTTCCATGGCAACTAGTAAAACAAAGAAAGAAAGAAAGAAAGATCGCGATTTTTAAAGGAGATCTTTCTGATTTGATCCACTCTCTCTTTATTCCCCAACTCCAATCGTGTGCAAAACGAAGTTAAGTTATGTGAATATAAAATAAATATCAGCATTAAAAATGCTGTATCAAATCGTAGCACACATTGTGTGACTCAAATTCGATCAAGTTTTTTTCTTTGTATGACAGGATAGTTTTACAAGAGAGGATCTGCAATTATTTTCTGGATAACGATTTGATTTTCTTTAAATGGGACAAGTGATGGAAATAAGGAGTTCGAAATGTATGTGCGCATGTACGGATCAAGCGCATGCGTAGTTGGCAAGCAGATCCACCCGCTTCTACTATGAATAAATCATGTAGAGAAATGGGTTAAAGAGATATCTACGGAAAATATAGACAAGAAAGATTGAAAAAGTGTGTCGACAAGAAAGTAAGGCGACATTGCAAAATGTCGGATGTTAGAAAAGAATAGGGAAGAGCGAATAAAGGGAAAATAATTCAGAATTAAAAAGAATGGAAGGAAAAATGTTGCAATCTATCTATCTATCTATCTATCTATCTATCTATATATATATATATATATATATATATATATATATATATATATATAAAGACATTTTTATGTTTATACATTCTTTTTAAAGATCTGTGGGAGGACGAATATTTTCTATGAAGATTTCTCGGACATTCAGGCCGGTAAATGTTTTTAATACTGTTTATTATAAACAGAGCATTTACTTAAATATTTACATCTATAAAAAGAATGTATAAACATAAAAATGTCTTGAAATAATTGTCAGACTTTGTCCATTTCCATGTGTATGTATATTTCTAAAGAATTAGTAGATTTATTTTTAATCCGACATTGTTTATTTCTGACCAACTACTACATATATAGATATATATATATATATATATATATATATATATATATATATAGTAGTGGGTAAGAAAGTTTGAAGTAATAACAATGTCGGATTAAAAATAAATCTACTAATTCTTTAGAAATGTGCTGGTCACTTGTATTCTACGATACCTGTCTATAAGGGTGGCTAGATAAGCCCTATTGCAGACGCCTGCTCAGACGCATCTGGATTTATTCAACACCCACAGAGCCTACCTGTGGTTTTTACTGCAACTATGCTGAGTAGACCTTAGTTGCAGTTTCAGAGAAAGAGCGTGTTTTCTACCGTCCATCAACAATCTGAACAAAGCCAGCACTCTCAAACACTTGATCGGTATGTCTTATGACTTCGTGCTAGCTATATATATATATATATATATATATATATATATATATATATATATGTGTGTGTGTGTGTGTGTGTGTGTGTGTATGTGTGTGTGTCTGTTGCATTAAAGAGAACAGTCAAGGCACTGCGATTAAGCTTTTTATTTAATTTTTCTTGAGTTCGAACAAATCCTTTCTTTTCTAGACATAGTATGTGTAAAAACTGTCCAAACACACACACACAAACATACCAGACTCCATCTGAAATATACTAATAGAAAATACAAACATAATAACAAACGTAAAAAAAAGATTTTAAATAATGGAAACCCTTTATAAAAAAAAAAAAAAAAAAAAATGCCAACGCCCAATAATATTAACTATAAACACAGCCACAATGTGATGACTGTGTTTGGAAAGTAAAACATTCCTATTACTCTAGATACATACACACAACCTATTCATCCAGCTAAAAAGTAATAATAAAATCCTCCTTATATAGCCGAAAGTGCTCGGAATTACAGAACATTCAGACAGTTTCTATACACAGTGTGTCCAGAAAAAAAAACTTGTTCGAACACATGAAAAATTAAATAAAAAGCTTAATCGAAGTATCTTGTCTGTCGATTTTAATGAAACATGCATAAAAGACGGATTGCTGCCTAAATACACAATCACATAAAATAATATATGTGTGTGTGTGTGTGTGTGTGTGTGTGTGTATATAAATAAATATAATTATTTATATATTATAAGCGCGGAACTTATTAAAAAGCGCTCAATATCAGAGATAGAGCTAACATATTTGTTTGGATAGATGTGAGTTTGTCACAAACTCACATCTATCCAACCAAATATATATATATATATATAATGAAATGGATTAATTCCGACAATCATTTTAATATATTATCTGTTTATATTTTATTTTTATACATATAATTTATTTAAGTAAATGCTCTGTTTTAATTAAACAGTATTAATTACATTTATTGGCCTGACTGTTGGATAAATATGCTTCTCTGACAGGAATCGAACTTGTAACTCTCAATGGGAATCATCATTTGATCTGAGGTGCTGTTTACCAGTCAGCCACAAACAAACGTCTGGGTAGCAAAATCCAAAATCCTGTTTATCAACACACACCTCCAATGATTTTTTCTCGATCAATCATATCTACTCACGAACACATACACATACATATATATATATATATATATATATATATATATATATATATATATATATATATATATATATAATAAAATCAAAGTATACACTGAGGTAAACACCGAGTACGATAGTCTGCTTCCCTCTTGAACGCAATCTTCATAGACTTAAGTTTGCGTCCAAGCGTTAAACAGACTGTCGCCACCCAGTCTTGATCTCAGTGGGCACCTTTATATTTACACACGATATTGATCACATTTCCTCATAAATATAGTGAAACTTAAAACCATTACTTTTATTATATATATATATGTGTGTGTGTGTGTGTGTTTGTTCGTAGATACATGTTCATAGTCGAATTATTAAAAACATTCATTTTACAGCAAATATTTATTTTTCAACATAATCACCTTAATAGTGAATCACGCAATTCGAACATTATACAGTGAAAATTTCAAGTCAAGACTGGTTGCAAACTTATTGATCCACCCTCGGGTGCATTAAGCTTAGCTTGAACCCAGGCTAGATAGGAGTAGCACATTTTAGTCTACTTGGAAAATCGGCATTCTAAATTGTGTTTTTCCCTAGCCTTAACCACTATTCACTGGTTATTACACCTCAATCTCAAAGCATTTTAAATATTGAAATAATATGAACCCCCTTTTTTTTTAAAGTAGAAAGCTATATCGAAGCATGAGTAAGAAATTTACGACTAGTATTTATTAAGGTTTGTAGTTAGATGCCGGACTTTGGTTCACACTTCAGCCTTGGTATATATATCTGATATTCGATTGATATCAAATGAGATATGCTGCGAGAATGGGCCATAGACTGCATCTACTTGCACTTAATATTCCCGTAATGTGAAGGAAAACGGACAAAGCATCTGGTCGTGTCGTGTAATGACGCTGTGACCATGA